TAAATGGTCTTTCCTATCTCAATTTCTTTCCCTGTTTCATATTATCTGTGTTGGTCAGTTTAATTATTACATACAATATAACTGATGTTGAATTATTCCTGTTTCAATAAAAGGGAAAATCATATTGCTTACAGAATGGTATCTTTCTTGATATTTTCTTCAAATTTCTGCCTTTTGAACAAGATTTTTTATTTTCAGTTATTTTAATATTTTGCAAAAATATTCATACAACCGGCGGATAGGTGGTATCATCACAAGTCAACATTTTTGGCTAACATAAAATATATGTGTATAAGAATATGTATGTACGCATTTCTGTGAATCGATGTGTGCTTTTAACGAACTCTGTATATGCGTGAATAATCAGAAGCCTATATTATGGACTAGAAACGGTGTTCGGTATATAATAACCTTGGAATAAGAACGGTTTAATGCTTATTCATCGTTCACGCTATTTACGAGCCTTTAGAGACGATGGCACGAAAATCTTCTAATTCTTTTCTCGGTTCGGCTGTCAAATCAGACTGGCTCCAATAACAGTTTTTAGCTGACTTTCAGCTTCATTCAAAGACTACTGGTACCAGACAGATGACTTCGTTGAATTACAGATTCTTGCAGTTAATACCCGTGGCGAGAATCCAGTAATATTTTCGTTAAATCACATCTGAAAGATACTTACTCTGAATGGACCAAAGAAGGACAATACAAATATATAAAGAAGAGTAGACCGGTCGAATTATAATGAGTAGGCTTACAAAAATGAGGATATTAATAAGATTAATTCATGGATCGCACTATGGATTTAAAACAATATTTATTTTACATTTTAAGAATGTCTATCGCAGCGCCATGTTTAATTTGGCGAATTCAATCATCAGTGGACGTGTGATGATTGTGTTGCACCAAACTTCCAAGTAGTTTTGAAGTGTCTGAGCAGAAATTTAACGTTCTTAATTCTGGCATTTTACATGGATTGCAAATAAGAAAAATGCAACTATCTATACGACGACATAATAAATATGAATTCCGACATTTATTCAGCATTTAAATTGAGGTGATCCTAAGAAAACGGTAGGTTTTACCAGGATATTATTTTAAAAACATTAGACACGCAAATGAAACTTTACTAGATACAAGAAAGCGAGTATATAACGTAACCCCCTGTTCCCCAAGGACGTGCAAACATATAATATGGACTCTATCTCTCGTAGATATCTTCCCCTTGAGATGGCTGTGGTGTCAAGTTGGTTACATAAAGTTTTAAATTGATCAAGGAGTTGGTGCCAGTTAATTCATCCATAGCCTAGAGTTGCTGGTAAATGTTGTTTCTTACTGAAAAGAAAAAAAGGATTTTTGTCCGTCCCTTCGATTCCGTAAGGCGGGGGTATTTTCCTTGGCGACTGGGCTGAAGAAAAGTAAGTCATGTTCTTGTCGGAATAGAAAGAAGGCTTGATTTTGTTTGAAAATGATAGTTTCATAATAGTAAATAAAGACAGAATATTTACAAATTTTGACATAGCTTAACATCTCTGGGCAGGGTAGCGACTTGGAAGGAAAGTTTATATTTTCAAACTTTTATCAAATTGAGCATCGGGTTAAGTTCAGGTTGCTGTAAATGGCTTGTATGTTTGTCAGCCAATTTTCGATGTGTATCTCCTCTCGATTCTCCCAGCTGTCTCCGTTCGCCAAAATGCTGTATATATAAGGACCCATCCATCCAAGAGTTTTCTCGCCATCCATTGATCACAAGAGCGGCCAAAAAGCGTCATTTCCTCTTGTTTGTTTTGAACTTATCCAGACTTTAAATATCGCCAACCTTCAAGAAAATCTGCATTCAAAATAAAAACATTACATATTCGTCTGATAAGCTTTTAGGCGAACACAGACAAAAAATGTTGTAACCTGTCAAAATATGCAGTCTTTTGAACAACAGATGTTTTCTCGGGAAAATTTGATTTCAGCAAAAGATTCAAACTTATTATTTTTTTGTTCCACTCACTAAAAAAACAAATGTAAAATACACTTCCCTAAAAAACAAGTTACCTTGTTACAAGTAAAAAAGACTAAACGTATACTGTAAGAAGAAAAGACACAATGAAAGCAATGATTGCACCACGTCATGATGGAACACAGCACAAGAAGACTTAGTTTATCCCTTAATGAGAAATTTTTACTTGGCTTGAAAAGTTTTCGCTAAAATACTCGCACGTTCGCCATTCATCCCAATGTATAATTAGGATTCCTCAGAAAGAAAAGAAGTGCGGTGGGATTTTTTCCGAGTAATGTTTTTCACATGTCTATATATTTTCCGCGCTGTGTCCACTCCTTGTATGAGTGGAAAGTTAGGGGTCAGGATTATGGAAGAAACTTCTTGTGAATAACCTAACCAAACTTCGCATCAAGGGATGCTTTTCTGGCATTTCACGTATGTAAAGGATAGCTCTCGTACCAAAAGAATTACCGCGCCCTTTGAAAATGCGTCTTTATATTCTGTCAGGTATCTATTCCCACTCCTCGTCAAAACCTGATAAAAGAACTCCCAGTATGTACTTTTAATATACGATTATAACTTGCAGGTACACAGGGAGAACAAACGAATTAGTCGAGCAGTTTTATTTGTTTGATACAATTGGTAACAGAACAAACTATTATTCTATTTTTCGAACTGTTTATGGACAAACATAAATGGAATATTTACTGAAAACCTCATTGTTCTTTTTTTATTTCATTGATGATCCAATTTCATATCAGTTTTCAAGCGTTTGTATTTGTTTTTATATGTTATGTCTCCTCAGGGAGTAGACAATAATGGCTTCCGCTATTATCAGTCCTTTGTACCTCTTAATAATTTTTTGTCTTTTTGTTATTTCTTCTATTTCCTGTTCCGCCATTTACTTAAGCTCACTAAGTATGGTATGCATTGTTTTCCTCTGTCTCTCGGGCCCTCTATCTGCCCTGTGAGTATCAGATTTTCCAAACCTCCTTCCTCATTATGTGCACAAGAAATTTCAACTGCTTCTTCCTGATGTTATGTATGTTTCATTTTCGTTTTTTTTTTTTTCGGTAAAACCTCGTCGTTGTTTACCTGTTCAGTCCATGGTATCCTCAACATCCTTCTCTATAACCAAATGTCTGTAGTTTCAATTCTCTTCTTCATTCACATTTGAGGAGATTGTTCAGCATCCACTGCCATATAGAAAGGCAGGCACCACGCAACAGTTCAGTATTCTTTCATTTGTTCGTAAATAATTATTTTAGATGTTCGTAAATGTTTTTATTTTTCTTTAAATGCCAATGCAAAAAAAATAAACAAAAAAAAACACAACTAATAAACATAATGTCAAACAGCAAAATGTTTACGACTGTTTTTACATTTCGGATTAGTTCAAAATTTGACGATACAACTCTTGTTTCGAAGCAGTAAAATTGTCAGTGATATACAGAATACACCTTTAAATCTTTGAGCTTATGATTTTACAATAATGGAAGCAAATAATAATCCGATATTGCAAAAGCTTGCACGTATAGTGTGTGAAGAAGTACTTCCAATCGCAATTCCATTTTAGTATTTGATGTAGAAAAAGCAACCTGTGAACAGATAGAGCCATGCGGCTTATTTTTTGCCTGAAAAGATACTTCATTTCCAGCTTACACATTTCTATTTGATTTGTTTACCGGCATATCAACTCCATATGGATCATTTAATGCCGGAATTTAATTTTCTTTGGCGCTTCGAAGTAATAAAAATATGATATATCTTATTCAACTGTCAGAACTAAATACAATGTAGTTGATACTCAGCTGCTGTGCATATACAAGTTGGTATGGATATATTTAATAACGACGGTAATATGTGTTTTATGTTGTAGTTTTGTTGAAGTTATATTTTGGAATACAGTTAAATTTCTTTAAGAGATTGTAGGATATTATATAGGTTAATATCAAAAGACTTTTTTCATGGTATTTGGTTGGTTGACTTTTTTAAAGTCATATCAATCTCTACGGGTTATTTAATGCCGAAATCTAAACATTTGGGACAAAATGTTTATGCCTTCAACTAAATATATTTTTGAAAGAAAGTGTATGCTTTCAACAACAGATAAAATATATTGTTAGTAATTCTACTATAAAATATATTGCTTGTTATTTTGCTTTAAAATTCTGTTCTTGGTCATTTTACTATAATTATGTATTGTTGGCAATTTGATATATAAATATGTAATTATTTTATATAAGTTTGTAATTTCTTTATATAAAAACGTATTTTTATGCTGTCATAATATTTGTTTTTGTTTGAAGGTCCACTATTTGCCAATAGCTTGGACCCTAACAGATGCTACTCCTCCAGGTCTGGGTGGAGCTGGGACGAACAGCAATTAAGAGGTGGTTCCACGCTCTCAAATCCTCCAACTTCCTGATCAAAGTCTTTACTCCCGGATATAGTTTATTGTAATACCCTGTGAGATTTCGAAGGTGTCAACTCAGCAGCAACGTTTTAATCAGATTTTTTCATGAGTGTAAGAAATGAAATTCAGTTGGTGGGAGACTGTCAATTGCAAAAATCAATGTAGAACTTATTTTTCATTGTTTCCGACTCTTAGACATATTTTTCAAATGTCTTAAAACATTTGAGGGATAACCATCATTTTTTTTTTATTTTAGCCATTCCTAATTTTGACTGATTGGAGCGGTGTCGATAATCTTAATCGTGATAATAAAAATTTCAGGAGGCTGAAAAATGACTGAATGCCACCCACATATACCTGTGGAACATTAAGTAAGTGAATGTCCAAATATTGCTAAAAACAGAAACGTTGGAGGATATTAGCTAGGGTGCTTCCATGAATAAAGGAATTAATTTATTCTTTGAAACTAATTACAAACCTCCTAAGATAACAATGTTTTCTAACTTCTCTGATTGTCAGTACGTTTAATCTAAACGTTCAGTCTTACATATAAAGTTCTCCTAACGTCAGAAATGTGTTGCTTTATACTATACAATGATCATGAGGCTAGATGAGGAGATTCCTGTTGACAGTGAAGTGTCAATAAGTAAGAAATAAAGAAACGTGATCAAAAGGAGAAAACTATGGTAACTATAAAAATAAAGTTGATGCATCGATTGAAAATGTTTGCAAGATATTTTATCTATTCAACAAAATGTCCATCTAGACATAATTTAAACAAGAAAAATGTTGCAAAAGATGGCATGACATTTATAAATATATATATATATATATATATATATATATATATATATATATATATACAGAAATCGTTTGTGATGTAACTATAACAAAGAAATAACTTCGAAGATGTATATGGAAATCCGTGGAAAGGGGTGCGTGTTAATTTGCCAGTATATGTCAAATTTACAAATTAAGTATGCTGCAAGCCAGTTTTTGGCATTTGCAGTGTAGCGATGTGGTCTTATGTCTGGTCACTTAGTAATGGGCGATTGATCTATTGTTTTGTCCTTATACAAGTAAAAAGAATAATATACTTCAAAGTGGAAATCAAAGAAACGAAGCCAAATCTGTTCCAAGAATTGGCAAATTGGAAAGTAAGCTAAATTCTCAATTTGGCTTATTTTCATTTGATTTGTTGAGAACAATGTGACCATTCATGAATTGTTTTTTTCAAACCCACTGATATATATATATATATATATATATATATATATATATATATATAAATTAGATTTTTGAAATATGATGAAGCGTGGAAAGGCAAAACGCGTAATCAAATCTAATTTCAATGAAACGTTTTCCATTTGTTAAATTTCTTAACGTTGTTGGGATCCTAACCTATATCCTAATTTGAACATATATACACTTCTCTCTGGAGTTTTCATACATTTCCCTCTCACACTTGTTTCCCAATCCCACACATACACTCTCACTAAATCTTTTTTTTTTATAATCGGAGTTATATTTTTCGATTTATTTTTGAATTTGTAGGTCGGCTGAATTGGATCGTGATTACGATTCCAATGTAGTAAATTATAACCATGGAATATTAGTGTTCCAGCCTTTTTATATATATATATATATATATATATATATATATATATATATATATATATATATATATATATATATATATAGTTTTAAGAATACTGTATTTATTGGTTAAAGTGCTGAATACCATGGATAGAGTTTATATAAATATAAAAGTGGACATTTAAGTGAATACCCAGCGGCGGCATTCTATTTCATGGTTGTACGCAATCGTCAGACTCTGTGTGTTGTGGTTTGCATGATATTTTATATATACAGGTCAGTGATGTATTGTGGGTAGACTATTGTATTACTCTAATAGATCCACAATTATTTCCACGCAATAGCCCCTAGAATAGTTTGAAACTTGACCGTTAACGTCCACCAAAGCAACCCTTAGAACAATACAATAGCAACACACAATGCATCACAAACAGGTATATAGAAATAGTCGATCTAAATCCCACAGAACTAACTTTCTCCTTTATATATATATATATATATATATATAATGTGTGTGTATTTATTTACATACGTTGATATCGATAAAGACTATGTGGACACGGGAATCAATACGGTACAATGACAGTCAGTTTCACTCTACAAGTAATCTTGAACATTTTTTTACTAGAAGAGAAATATATGGTCTGATGGTCGTTTGATTTATGAAATATTAACAATATATTAAATATTAAACTCTCTCTCTCTCTCTCTCTCTCTTCTTTATATATATATATATATATATATATATATTCAGCGTTATTTTAGTAGATACTCGTGATTGAGTGGATCTTCCCTTTCCGTTTTGTGCACGCGTAATAAACGCTGTTTACAAAATCAAATGTAGTTTATTGCTCACACTCATGCGTGTGTGTTTGTGCTTGCGTTTGTGTGCGTGTATATATGAGAGACGATGCTTTGCTGAAACAGCAATTAAAAAACGTTTCTTTTTACAATATGGCTAGAATTAAAAAAATCTGGCGCATAATATTTTCCAAAAATATATATGCATGCTTCCAATTCAACCAAAATTTACTCCAAAAAGTTTAAATGATCCTTTGAAAAATTAATGTTTTTACTACCCCCCCCCCATTCCCAGTATACTCTAACAAACTTCAACAAGTGTATACTGGAACATTCTGTGGTCTGAATCGTAATATAACAATAATTGTTATAAAATAAGGATTAAATTCAAGACTGAATTCAACAACATTTAAATGTTATCAAGTAACTTCAACTCAGCTTATTTTTTTTATTTTAATAAATTCCAGTTAAATATGTTTTATTTTTTTACCACATATTCCCGTCTTTATTCTCTCATATAGATCGATATATCCACAAGAAACAGACTTTCTCATCGCAAGGAATTCTACCACCATTTTTCATTTTTACGCAGTAAGAAGAATACAGATATTATCCCCACTTTCATAATTCATATTTCAGCATTTGCAATCGTAAATTTAAGATGCGTAAAACACATTTTAAATATTTTCATTGTTAGCTCAATAGACCGATTAACTTCAGTAATCAGAGTCATATAATATTTCCTTTTCCTTCCTTGCAAAATTCAGAAAAAAACATAAGTCACCGTGTAACTGAATCTATTCACCTTCCAGTCTGTTTATGAGTTGTACGACATCAGATGGATCTTCATCAAATATGACATCCAAGGACAATTATCTTCACTATGACATCATCATCAATATTTCGTGTAGTATCTTCAGCCAATTGTTTTGTACTTTTGGAAGGTTTCACTTTTCCTTCGTGGATAATGTTTTCTTCATTGACTCTGCTCGCTGGAACATTTAAAATAACTCAGGCGAGTCAGTGAGGAATCTTGTTCTCTGAGGTTGTCTCTCGCCTTTACTTTTCCTCTTTGGAAATGGACCAAACAGGTACAAGATTCAGATGAACGGGCTTGGATTACAACATTCAAGGTAAATGGATCAACTCCCGTGAAACTAATAGCTGCATCTTCTGTTCTACGACCCATGCATTAATATTATTAATAGAGTACAAAAGTAAACAAAAAAGGCAAATGATTTACAGATTCACTTCATTAATATTCTACTAAAAAAAGGAAAACACGAAATTTTACATGTAAAGACTGAAAGAAATGAAATGTTTTATCCACAAAGAGTTTTACTTTAATTTAGGATGAGAAAAATACCTTCTCTGTGGTAGACTATCTTCTCCAATGACTTGATATTGATAAGGTAAAAGCATTATAGCAAAGTCACACTAGTTGGCTACAAAATCGTTGTCGGTACTAAAATGTAACGGTTCAACTAACCCACTGTTCCATATAGACCATTTACCCTATATGCACTGATTCTGCATGCATGCATATTGAATTTTAATAAGCGTAGCTTAGATGTGGCACAAGGCCGAAAGAATTGAGCGCTAATTCAGGATCGAACTCACTTCTCAGTCATATTTGATTTGGTGAAACAAAGTCTCTAACCATTACACCTCACTACTGTGCCCCGCATACATACAGAAATCTAGTTTTCTCTATAACTGAATCGATTGGTAAACATTGGTTGTACATACATGTTTGCAAGCAGGAGGTGATCATTGTTGAGGTGAGTTCATACCTATTGCAAGGGATGTAGTTAGCATAATTTTGTCTCCGCTGGTATGTATGCTCATAGAATTTGTTGTTCAATATCTGTAGAAATGAGGACGTAAGTTCGATTCTTGCTGGAGAGCACCTTTTCTTTATTAAGTTTTCTCGAATACACAGGCCAATAGACGTAATACACACTATTTAAAGAGAACATGAAAATAGGTCGCCTTTTTTATACTACTAATATTAGAAGGCTCTTCCCCCTCCCCAAATTGAGCGCTGTCAGTCATTGGCGTATTAATTCACAGAATAAGTACGTAAAAACCGTGGCTTAGGGGAAAAATATCTGACTGTTGCCTAACCAGTCGGTTTTCGATCCTGGCTTTAAACAATGGGACGTTTATTCAAACTGATGAGTTGAGATGCAGCGAATCAATCTGTCTGTGGATGACAATATAGAGGCACTCTTGGAAGTTAATTGCGAATTTGTAAACAATGAATATTACTACTAATATTACAAGGCTCTTCCCCTTCCACGAAATGAGCACTGTCAGTCATTGGCGCCAATGACTGCCTTGTTTATTTGCCTTTCTTTCAACCGTGTACCGATGGCTTAGGGGAAAATATCCGACTGTTTCGATCTTGGTTTGAAGCAATCGAATGTCTACCCACACTTATATATATATATATATATATATATATATATATGTGTGTGTGCGTATAAATGTCTGTATATTTGTGTGTGCAAGTCATCAGTAATTGTTATGGATGTGTTTCTTACGTTAAACATACATGGAATAAATATGCTGAGATAATGAAGAGGTCAAGAAAAGGTCAGCAAGTTGTTCGCATTTCCTTTAAAATCGTTAATTTATCGATACTCCATAATACTGGCCCTGTGTCAATAGCTTTGCGCAGTCGAATGATGAAATGAAAATAACTTTTAATTCTCATCATGTTCATTTAAATAAATATTTTAATGAAATGTTTAATGGTTTCCACTCTGACAGCATCAACACTCTCAAGAAACATATTCATAGTAAATATGCCTTCGTTTTTTTCTGCTAATACTCGTTGTGTTAACAGAATTTTACTTCATGGATTGTAAGCATCAGCCAATACGTGTCTTTCGATAGGCGCGAATATTGAGTTATAGAATTCTGTCGACAATAATTGAGTAAAATGTCTCCAGCAGTGCATCGTGTATATGAAGCCATCTAATCTCGGATCGCAACCCTTGACAGAAACTAATTCAATCTAGTTAAAATTTCAATATCAAAAATCTTATCGAATCTTTAGATTTAACAAAAGTATTGCGAACTGATATAGTATAACTAGAAAGAAAATATTACAGTTTTTGTAATTATTTCTTAGTTTCTTATTTTCTTTTTATATTAACATTCGATATGAAACTTTTTTTCGAAAACTAAAAGTACACATATAATGATTTTTCAGTAGGTAGAAAATTAACCACAAAACGCATGAAAGAGATTTTGGCTTTTATTTATATATGCATTTATTTCCTCGATTTCTTTTCGGGCGTCTACATTCTGCATTGTGATAGCTGCTAATGATTTTGGTAAGTAGGCGAGAATTATCGGATTAACTAACGTTACAGAAGAGAAGACATTTAATTGAAACTTGAATCTAATCTCCCGACAATCATTCTTCCCACATTTCTGTCCGATTAACTTCAATACCACCAATATATATATATATATATATATATATATATATATATATATATATATATGTGTGTGTGTGTGTGTGTATATATATATACATACATACATATATATACACACACAAAAATATTACATCAAATGTTCAAAATGTTCTCTTGGATCACACGGATGTTTTTTTTTCTTCAAAGGATGACGCAGTTTCGATTCCTGGCGGAGGGTACATATACTCTATCGTGATTTATCCCGTGCGTAGACCGATAGACGTAAAACACACTGTCTATAGTAAAACAAAAATAGGATGTTTATATCAAATATGACAATCAACTATAATAATGTTTGAAGTAGCAGAAAATTTCGGATTAAACATAAATAAATTAATTCTTTATAAATTGCTTTGTTTACGAAACGGAGCAGATAAGCTTTTAAGAAATATCTTAGTGAACAGGTGTGATTTCATTAAAATGGAAAAATAGATCGCCTAAATGTACGCTCCGACATTCTTCAGGCGATTGGAATTTCGAACTGAACCCTTTATTTCACCCATCGGGGTAAATTGTTTTATTTCGACTTGACATACCTCAGTTATCTCCCTTTAACTCAATTCTCGAAGTTTTTGTTCACCACTGCAGTAGCCAGATATTGAACTCACAACTGTTTGGATCACAATTCACTGGATCCAACCAAAGCTTTTATCCTCTGGGTCATGTCTCGGAACAATGTAAATAATGTTTCATAAGTTGTTTACATAGAATGATAATGGACATCGTATTTTTTCCTGTCCAACACTGTCCATTACCTTCTTGAACTTTAAGCAGCTCGAGGAGATTCATATGATGTAAATAATAATTTTCAAGTTGCGGCCGGGCAAACCAAACTGATGTCTAGGTAGATTTCAGCTCTGTTCATAAAGCATTCTAACAGACGGTGTTGATCGGGCGACAGTCAAGTTCACGTCTTCTGCATTTTTATTCAGTACAAATCCTAGCCAGTCTTTACACAGACATCCCTTCGGGGAACTGTAAAGTTTCTCGTGACCACCGGCTCAGCTATCAATTTAGACAATAACGGCTATCCGATTCTTTACTTGGAAACTCACTGAACTTCAAATCTGCCATATAGAATTGGAATGACCAAATTCTGACTCGAAGAACATTATATTAGTCTTGGGATATCATTAAAATACACGTTAATCTTCTAGTTGGTTTTTATTGAGGAATGTAGAAATATGTGTTTGAATCAATGACATGCTTTAGCTTTTTTTTCATTTCTTTTTATTTTTTGCTGAAGTTTACATAATACAATTCTCAAGAGCCACTCAAGTTAGATATTTACTGAATGATGCCTGTAATATAAATGTAAGATTAGGTAAGTGAAGATTATGGGAATAAGAAAGATAGAGATTGGCACTTGATATTCAGAGGTTGAAGTTTTAGTGATCAGGCTAGCATCATCGACGGAGTTTCTTCCACAAAATATAGTTCATTTTAGTAAAATAATAAAAAGAAAAACTGAAAGAACATTAGATATAAAATAATATTTTTTAATGTTGAAAGTTTGTAACATTGACAGTTATTTACATATATTTTGCATTAACTAAGTTGATTTCTCCAAAATGTTTAAGCCATGCTCTTAGGAAAATGATTTTTAAATAAACTATCGACCTTATAACTGTACCTTTCTGTTATACCAGAACATTACCTATTCTATTGTAATAGACTCTCCCACAGATAATAAGTAGTAGTAGCAGTGGCCAGTTGGGCTCAGTGGAGTTGAGTGAGTCAGTCGATGTCGGACATTGAAGTATCAACCACCACAGCTAGATTGCTGCGTCATTAATTATTATTGCAAGTTCCTAACGTTTTGTACGTCGGACCCTTTTAGGGCCGAATTAGCGAAATACAAGCCTCCACTGTGAAAACTACTCTACAACACTTTCATATCGCACGCGATCGGAAATCGCAATACACACCTAGTTTTTATTATCTGTTAATTGCCGTGACATCTTTGGAGAGATAGCGAAGTGGTTTCTCCTTTTCCACTGTTTTGAATTAAGATTATTTTCTCTTTTAGACTGACTGCCATCGAAGGCTAGACAGCTGTTAAGCCCACGTAGCGATAGCGTAGAAGAGAAGTTTCCATGACTTTCTTCAAAGATTATGTGTGCGAAAGTAAATGCAGGAGACTAGGCCTATATTTAAAAGCTCGTCGATTTTACTTTTCGTGCTGTTAATCGCTACGTGGCGGTGACTGTTATTCTTATGACTTTATAACTCATTAAACAGTTAGGAAAAGGAAACCGCTAGAAATGGTATTTGATTAGGATGAAGACCAATTTAGAAAAGTGGTTCTACAGAAGGATGCTGAGAATATCATAGACCGAACATGTAAGCAACAACGAAAATAGAAACAAAAAGAAAACTCATACTTAACATCAGGAAGAGAAAATTCCTAGGACACATAATGATGAAAGTGGGCTCGGAAAATTTGATACTCTCATGACAGATTGAAAGCAAGACAAGGACAGAGGGAAACAATGCACAACCTACCTAGCAAACATGAGTAAATGGATTGTTGAACAAGGTTTAAGAGAAATAAAACAAACATATATATTAAGAGCTACAAAGGATAGAAAATTGTTGAGAGCCATGATCACCAACGTCCCGAAGAGACACAAGACAAAGACGATCCTTCGTTCTAATTTGGGTTTTTATTGTGTGCAGAAGTGCCAAATTTTCTCGTTGTTGATGGAGAATGGGATTCTCTTTACACTTCTATGTTTATCCATAATAATTTACTTCATGATAAAATTCAGAAGCTGAAGGAAATATTTAGAGAAAAGAATAGCAATATATGACTAGAAATATTACACCTGTTAAAGGTATCATTCAATCACTGCTGTTATAAATAGCTAATCACTCTATAGGAAAGCGCATATTTCTTAATATGTAAATCTTCATGCCAATATAAGTAGATTTTCATATTCATATATCTTTTTACGTGTCGTGTAACCTAAAGAGGTGGCTCTATCTGAATTTTAATTGGTGGGACCGAACGTAACCTTCGCTATCTTAAGCATCAAGCAACTTCATATAAAGGTAGATATTGTAGGGAGAAGCGACTGGCCGATTAAAAAGAAGTTGAGGTCATTTTTTTTATCTAAACAGAGAATATACTCCATGCAATAAATGTCATCGGAAATTCTGTTCATTTATCAAATGACAATATACGCATTCTATTCGCCCAGTTAATTTCTAAAGAAATAATAGATTTTTATTTATTAATCCGATATAATTTTTAGAAATTGCTTTACATTAGAATACAAAATTAAGAAAATATGTATGTTTCGAGTATCTGAGAAATATTTGCATTTATAAGATACTATTCAACTTTAAAGCAGTCGGTTCTTTTGCCAAGGATGATTCAGGTTCTAATCCTGATGGAAAGCAGATATTTTTCTTTCATAAGTTCTCTCGAGCATTCAGGCCGGTAGACGAAAATAAATAAATATACAGTTTAACAGAGCGTCTTCACAAATGTGGCTATCCGCTAAACATATAACATTTAAGAAATAAAATGACCCAGTTAAGTAAAACAGGGAGAAATTAGTCAAATAAATTCTCATGTACGCCACTTTATATTATATGCATGTGTTAATAATCCAACGATCAACTACAATATGAAAAAATATAACAGATAAACAAATCTATCTATCTATCTATCTATCTATCTATCTATCTATCTATCTATCTATCTATCTATCATACCTGGCGTACCTATTCTATTATTAATAGACTCTCCCACACATAATAAGTAGTTGTAGTAGTAGCGGTTGACAATTGAGCTGAGTGGTGTTGAGCGAGTCAGTCGATGTCGGACATTGAAGTATCAACCATCACAACTAGATTGCTTCGTCATTAACTCTTATTTCAAGTTCCTAACGTTTTGTACGTCGAACCTAATTTAGGACGACTTATTGAAATACAAGCCTCCACTGTGAAAACTACTCTACAACACTATCTATCTATCTATCTATCTATCTATCTCTAAAGAAGTGGTGGATTTTTATTTAATAATCCGAAGGATATTATTGCCTAAACATCAAATTTAGTGGATACACGTATTTGAGAAGAGGCTCAGTTTATTTATCCTCCTCTAACGAGGGATTTCTTTATTCAGGGGTCTGCAGGTTCGAATCCTACATGAGAGCTCATATTTTTCTTAAATTTTCTCGAATACTCAAGCCAGTAGATGAAAAATACTATTCACAACCTACATTGTTTAATAAATAAAAAGTCTTTCTTTCCCACTCTCTCATCGACCTCTCTCTTTCTCTGTCTCTCTATCTATTTACCCCATTCTGTTCATATATATCTCTCAATCTCATTTTTTCATATCTATCTATCTATCTATCTATGCGTTTTCATATGTATCTGGATATCTATCTATGCATTTCTATATCTATGCGTTTTCACTATCTAAGAGTTTTCATCTATGCATGTATGTATGTATTTATTTATTTATGTATGTCTTTCTCTCTCTCTCTCTCTCTATATATATATATATATATATATATATATATATATATATATATATATATATATATATATATATATTATTTAATTTCCCAGCTATTGCTTGCTTTGGGATTTTCTAAGAGAAGGAAAAATTAAACAATAGTGACATATTGACAAAGTATATTGACGCACACACATCCTCACACACATGTATGTATGTATGTGTCTGTTTGTGAGTACTTATTTTTATATATATATATATATATATATATATATATATATATATATATATATAGATAGATAGATAGGTAAATAATTTCATATAAGTAAACACAAAGACAAGTAAGTGTAGTCACTGAAAATGACGGAAAACTAAAAAGAAAAAAAAAACATTAAGCACAACGGAATCATCTCGATGACAGTTCGCTTTAATTCTTTGACAGTTCGAAAACATAGATAGACAGACGAATAGATAAAGGCAAAGTGTTATAAAGTCTTCTTTGCCGTGTCATAGAAATTGCAAATTCTGGTCCGTATGTTTGAGCCGATCACACACGCATGGCACCCGAAGATTAAGGACAAAATTGAAATTGGAATGAAACCTTATCGGTTTGTCCTAGCGGCGAAAGGTTCAATTCCCCAGATTAAATGAGAAAAGACCGGTTTCCTGGAAACTAATCATTTATGCGACAAGAAAAAAAAAAAAAAAGCACGAATTCTAATTATAGTGGGGATCAGTAATCCGTTTTTAGCAACTTCCGGTGTCATAGCAGAAACTTTGCTACACATTTTTCTTCTTTAATCTCATCAGTTTTCTCCCTTTTTCCCCGTTTCAGTTGTTCACGGTGCTTTATCATGTTTTCTTCTCTATTCATACATTCAAATCTTTCACCCTCGTCTCACAATTCTTTTTTTTCATTCCATTACTTCTATCTTTTTCTCTTCTTTCTCTCACTTTTCCATAAAACTTTACCGCTTGTTTTCCTTTATCTGTTAAATTCGTAGCTTCTTGTTCTATAAAATGCCAGAGAAGTTTTCGTCCAAACTTATTTCGATACCTTGTTTCTTACAGGCTGTTTTATTTTAATCAATTCGCCTCAAGCAAGGTGATAATGTCACTAAGACGTAAGGGGTTACTGGGAGTGGAAGAGAATGAGAAAACCTTAGATGGAAACGAAAATCCAATTCTAAATAGGAAACAGGGGATAAACACTTCCTTTTTAAAAGACCGTGGAGGAGTGTTGCTTGATGTATTTATATCTAACCTTAGCTTAGTTTAACACAAGTATAGAGCCTCCAGTGTGGATCGAACTCAGTACAGTAGCATTGCTCGGTTATACTAACTCGCTAGCATTATTCAACATTTCCGCTGCTGTGGACGTAGTTATAAATTTATCCGATTTGACATTGTCCGTTGTCGATATATATCGGTGTTCAAGAGACCATGATATGTCAATACCTAGTATTTGTGTTGTAAACTAATGATCGTTCAGTGCTATTTCCAAACTAGCGTAGTTATATAATAGCATTAGTTACATGTTTTTTTAAAGTATTTTTAAAATTATTTTGTGTGTTGGAAATGTCGATTATCTTAGTATTGTAGAATAGCTGATTTGAACAACTCTTGCGGTGCCTGTGAGAAATTGCTGTCAGTGTCTTTATAATCATTTATTTCCAGTATATACCAATTTCCTATTATTCTGCTAAATAAGCCAGCACAGCCAGACAACAACGCTATAAGAATGCAGCAGTGAAAGTTGATCGTTTTACAGACAATATCAAATATATTTACTGTTGTAACGATTGGTTATGCTATCTTCTATACGGTATTTACTAAGAATGAAATAGTCTTGTCATGTGTTTGTAACATATTTGTAATGCACTTCAGAATGAATGCAAGTAAATATTCTAATGACATGCGAAAGAAGCATTCTTTTTTAACCATTTTTTCATAGTTGTTCTTAGTGTCTCCTTCGTATTCCTTCTTTTTCTTAAATCGAGTGACCTCAAGGAAGGCGATGATGCCACTAAGACGCAAAAGGATACGGGTAGGAAGTAAATTACTTTAGAATATATCAGAAACCCAATCCTAGAAGGTAAAACAAGTGTTAAACTTCTACTCTTGTTCAAAAGACAAGGTAGGTGTGTGAACCGCGAGTTAGCGAAACTATCTACTCATTTTATCTCACAGAATGGGTTTAGATAAACCCATTCTGCTTTAAGGTTCAGGTTTGAAACAACTTACTGTTGCATTATTGATATGATCACTTTAAGGGTACGTTTCACTATTTACAGTAAAATAACCATTAATTATAGCAGTAATGTTTTTTTCTTTTTCTGCACTTTACTTAATATTGGAGTTGGTCATTTTTTCATCGACTTTACCCCGGTAAAATAAGTTAAAATCAGACATATCTGACACAGTATATTCTATGAGTTCACAAGGAGCTCTTTAGCACCAGAAACATCAACAAAAATTAAAATATGTCTATAGAAATAAAGCTTTAAGTGTTTGGAAATGCTAACACTATAATAAGGTGTTTCAATTGGGAAATTATGCTTCAAAAATCCCCTTTGATCAGAACTGCCTCATTTTATCAATATTGAACATATGAAAAATTTTAGTTGAGGAACATCCTAAACAGACTACACGATAATTAACAAGAACAATTTAATTCAAGATCATAATACATTTTCATGAACTAAGAACAGTGTCTAAAGTAAGTCATTGCTACTCTCATCATCTGACTACTTCTAAGCTTAATCAAAAAGATGTCCTGTGCTCGTCATAGAGATGTAGACTTTCTGTCGAGCCTCCCATGGTTGATTCATTTCCTGTGATGAAAATTGGTGTTTCTATAAAAATAGCCAATGCAAATGTCAGGGATTAGCACCCACTGAAAAAGAATACTCTACACTTAAACCAGGAATACCCCCGACTAGAAACATACTTTGTAGAATACGAAGGCTGTAATTTATCATGAAATGTTCAAACAAAACGAAACAGCTAATACTAAAACGTATCAACAGAGCATGTTTTAGCAAAACGAAGATCAAAAGGGAGTGTGTATACGTCGCTTGCAGGCACGTTTGTGACTAAGTCCAGTGCGGGACAGGTCTCAGTATTTGAAGCTGAGGTCGATGGCATAGCATTGCGGTACTTCTTCCTTTGCCTTTTGTCCCTGAGAGCGTCCCTCCAGGTATTTTCAAAGAAAATAGCATGATTGGTGTTGAAACACCGGGCGTCACTGTTCTCAGCTAGGGTTGACCATTAGTAATGGTTGATGTGACAGGCAACAAAGGATTTTTTCAGGCAACAAAGGATTTTTTCAGGCAATCTTTGAATCGCTTTTTTGTGTCCTTCGGTCGCGATAGCCAGTGGTGAGCTCACCGTACAATACAATTTTAGGCAGGTGATGATTCTCCATCCTGGAAACATGTCCAGCCCAGCGTAGCTCGGACTTCAGCAGCATGTCGTCAAGGACTTCAGTATTAGAGACGAAGTCACTCCAATTTATGTGAAGGATCGTGCGGAGGCAGCGCTTGTGGAACCGTTCGAGGATCTTAGTGCCCTTCTCCAGGTATCTGTTGTACCACACGCGTTTATACAGTCTGCCAGTTTGCCAGTCTGTTGTCGACCTCTTTGACGATCCCAGCATCTAATGTGATGCTTCATCCAACCTAGGTAAATCGATGAACAGCCTTTAGCTCTGTCGCGAGAATGATGATAATGTGGGAAGGGCTATACTCATGCCGAGGCGAAGGCTGGTAGAGTACATCTGTTGTCTTTAAATTGACTTCAAGCCGAAATAGTTTGGCAGCCTCTGTGAAGTAGGAAGTGGCGTACCGCAAAGTTCCGTCTGTGTGAGCAACAAGGGCAGCATCGTCACGAAATAGAGGTCTCAGTATAAGCTCCTCTATGATCTTCGTTTCGGCTTTTAATCTTCGTAGATTAAACAGGCCACCATCGAGACGATATCTGATGTAGACTCCGTCCTCCTCCTCAAGATCTTTCGTGGCTTGCTTCAGCATCATGCCGAAGAAAATAGTGAAGAATGTCGGTGCCAAAACGCAACCCTGTTTTATACCGTTGGTGATCGAGAATGGCTCTGAGAGATCACCTTGTGTCTAACTTGGCCACGTTCATCCTTTTGCAGCTGAATGATCATGTTCAGAAATTTTGGAGGACAGCTGAATCGCCCCATGATCTGCCACCTTCCTCCTCTATTCACAGTCAAATACTTTCGTCAGATCAATGAACGCCACATACAGCATCTTGTATTGCTCCCGACACTTCTCCTTCAGCTTCAGAAGAACAAACACCATGTCTGTTGGGCTCCTATTTGTTCTGAAGCCGCTGGAAGGTGTTCCGCGGCGGCGGGTACCAGCCTGTTCAGTAGAACCCTTGCAAGGATCTTTCTTACAATGTAGAGCAAAGTAATCCCTAGCTAATTGGAGCAGTCAGATTTTCCCCCTTTGTTCTTCTACAGGGTAATGATGACTGTATCGCGTATTTTTCTCTGCTCTCAACAACAACAAGAGAGCGCTTGGAGTTCCATATGAAACACCGGACCTTCATGTTTCCAGATTTCAGGAAGTTACGGCATACTAAACGGAACGCATCTTAGATTAGATGACAAACTGGCTGAGCTAAATGGGCTTGATGAATTGATCTCTTCCTCACTAGCAGTTCTTAGATTTCCACTTTGCTCTAATCAAACCAGCTTTTGTTCTTCCTTGAAAAACTTCCACAGATTTTTACAGAATGCCAGTTTTGAGTTTTTCCCAAAGTGTTTCAGGAGAGGAATCTGCGGGGATGCCTTGACTCACGTGCTACTTGGAAATTAGCTAACTCTTCATCTGATTATAAACTGCTAACCTTGACGTTTTTAAAGATTTCCCCACCAATTCTTGCTTTGAGTTTAAAGTGAACAAGGCGATGACCGGTATGGCATTCTTCACTGGGCATCACTTTTGTGAGCGTGATGTCTTTTAGATCAAACTGGTGTACTAAGGTATAGTCAATGAGGTGCCAATGTTTTGGCCAAGGATGCATCCAGGTTGTTTTCAATCGGTTTTTCTGTTAAAAAATGGTGTTCGTGATGATAAGCTGATATTATGCACAAAACTGTAGTAGCAAAAGCCCGTTGTCGCTACAGTTACCAACACCATATCTCCCTTCCAGGCGGCAAAAATCTTAGCCTACTCTGGTATTGAATTCGCCAAGGATTATAACCTTATCATCTTTCACCTCGTTCCCATCGCTACAGGGTTTAGAAATGCGAACTTCAAGCATGCACAGTGGAATTTTTATGTGAAAAAACTAAGACGTATAGTTAAATAAATTGCAGAAAAAAGGCTTCATTATCCGTTCGAACGTGAAGGCTTGTTGCTCTTATACGATCTTGCAAGACCACATATTGCTAGAGTAACTCAGGAAAACATTATGGACTAAAGAAATATATTTTGATTTATCACTTTTACTCACCTGATCTAGCTTCATTTAACTAAACATTGTTTATAGGGAAAATGTCAGTTAATTTTGAAGAGTTTCAAACTGATATTAAGTGTTTCGTTGCACCGAAACCAAAAGAAATTTACGCCCGCGGGATCAACAATTTGTCAAATACGTAGGATTATCTTATCAATAATAAGATGGAATTTTATCTTTATTAAATGTTTCAATTAAAACCAAAGAGACTTTTTCTTTTCCATTTTCAAATCTTACAAACATTTCTCTTCATCTTATTAACATATCTTTTATCTTTTATCATTTTTCTTTATTAATCGTGTAATTTTGTAATAACTTTTTTCTCTTTGAGATTCGTTTTAGGCTGACTAATCGGTTTTTGTGGCATAGACATTCGCTTCAATAAATCAAGTTCGACATAAGGCTACGCTGGAGACAATTCAATCGAGGTAAAATAATAACTGAATTTTCCCCCATTTTTGTTCCTCCTCCGGT